CTGCTTAAAATACACAAGAATTTACAGATTTTCAAGAATTTGTGAGGTCCCACCAGGACAGATTCACAAATTATTACTGTTGTTAAGTCTGTCAAAGTTAATCACATTGGCAAGCCAACCAACTGCCAGAACCACTGAGTTACAAGACAGAAGAAGAAACCAGTGTGAATAAAATATGGCAGAGCTCTTCAGTTTTATTAGACTCTTATAGATACCAGGTGTGCAGAGCTAATGTGGTGATCAGAAATATTCTCTTCAGCATGATGATCTTAATTAAAAGTGCTACATTCATAATATGATGCATCGAGTAAAATAAAACTTTGCAGTTTCCTGCATTATAAAGAAAAAATGCAATCTTTTCGGCATTTTTAATATTTTATATTATTACTCCTTGCCTTTTAATATATTAATACATACAGCCCTGGCCAAAAGTTGTGAGAATTACACAAATATTAATTTTCACAAAGTCTGCTGCTTCAGTGTTTTTAGATCTTTTTGTCAGATGTTACTATGGTATACTGAAATATAATTACAAGCATTTCATACATGCCAAAGGCTTTATTGACAATTACAATAAGTTCATGCAAAGATTAAATATTGGCAGTGTTGGCCCTTCTTTTTCAAGACCCCTGCAATTTGCCCTGGCATGTTGTCAATCAACCTCTAGGCCACATCCTGACTGATGGCAGCCCATTCGTGCATAATCAATGCTTGGAGTTTGTCAGAATTTATGGGGGTTTTTTGTTCACCCGCCTCTTGAAGATTGACCACAAGTTCTCAATGGCATTAAGGTCTGGGGAGCTTCCTGGCCATGAATCCAACATTTCAATCTTTTGTTCCCCAAGCCACTTAGCTATCACTTTTGCATTTTGACAAGGTGCTCTATCATGCTAGAAAAGGCATTGTTCCTCACCAAACTGTTCTTGGATGGTTGGGAGAAGTTTCTCTCGGAGGATGTTTTTGTACCATTCTTTATTCATGGCTATGTTCTTGGGCCAAATTGTGAGTGAGCCCATTCCCTTGGCTTAGAAGCAACCCCACACATGAATGGTCTCAGGATGGTTTACTGTTAGCATGACACAGGACTGATGGTAGTGCTCACCTTTTCTTCTACGGACAAGGTTTTTTTCTGGATGCCCCAATCGAAAAGGGGATTCATCAGAAAAAATTACTTTACCCCAGTACTCGGCAGTCCAATCCCTGTACCTTTTGCAGAATATCAGTCTGTCCCTGATGTTTTACATGGAGAGAAGTGGCTTCTTTGCTGCCCTTCTTATTGCCTTTTTGTACAAAGCAATGATGACTGTGTGTATTTCCTTGCAGATAAATTAGTATTTGTGTAATTCTCAAAACGTTTGGCCAGGACTGTATGTTGAAAACAAAAATCAACATGGCTTACATTTCACAAAGACATAATTTCCACTCATATGTATAGGAGTTATGTAAAAGAGAAGTCGGGTAGGATAAATTTGAGGAGGCTGTCCACAGATAAAAAAAGTATTCATCGATTTTATACCCATTTTCGAATATGGCGTTCCTGGCCTGGGGACTGTGAGGTATTCTGCTTAGCATCATTTCCCTATTAGATGCCTGCTCCTGGAGGAGGGAGGACAAAGACTGCATTAGGTTCCAGCTGTGTCTGGGTTTCTTGATGTAATCTACTCTACTGGCTTATACAGACTTACAGTTGTGTTCAAAATAATAGTAGTGTGTTGAAAAAAGTGAATAAAGCTCAAAATCCTTCTAATAGCTTTTATTTCCATACACACAAATGCACTGGGAATATAAATAAATAGCAGTGTTTGTATTCTTCTTTACAAACTCAAACATTCACTATATAAACTGAAAAATGTTTGAAGATTTTGCTTTGCTTTGAATCACTTAATGAATATTTAGTTGTATAAGCACTGTTTCTGTGTTGCATGGAGTCAACCAACTTCTGGCACCTGTGAACAGGTATTCCAGCCCAGGATGATTGGACTACATTCCACAGTTCATTTTAGCTGAGCAGCCTATCATTTTCTGCACTTCTTTATATGTTTTCCCCTCTCCAATCAACTTTTTTTAATCAAGGTACGCTGTTATTCTGAAGAATGTCTGGAGCGACCCATTTTCCTCAGAATTTCAGAGAAAAATGCACTGTAACCAGCATGTACAACATTGGCTGCCTTCCTTCAATAAGGGCAATAATTGCCACCTGTTTTTCAAAGAATGAATGACCTCACTAATAGAACTCCACACTGCTATTATTTTGAACATGCCCCTTTCAATTAGTGATTCAATTACGCAGAATCAGCAGCATGCATGTCATGACTGTTGGGTCTGTTGGATTTCAATTACTCTACTACACCTGCTAGTAAATTATTTGCCATGTAGAAAATATCATTTCTACCAAAAACAGTGATTGATCAGGTTAGTGATGTCTGACTGCTGTTATTTTGAACACAACTGTATGTGTGGAAAGTGAGGAGATGGAGGGCATGTTGCCTTGCCCCTGCATCATAGTGCACACCTGGGTCAAGGGTAGAGGTTATTTGTGATGGTAAACTAGTATTTAGTGGGTTTACCTTATATTTTGGGTGTAGGTAACACCTAGTCTGCACTTGTCCCTCTTATATCATTTGTATGATTGCACGTGAGATATATTAAAAGATACACTAGGCATGCTAATATTGCTTATCTAGCATAACTTCCCCAAGAGTAGGCACAAAAGGTCCATTACAGGGCTAGAATACATGGATTTGTGTTATAGCAGTATCTATATACAGTATGTGTTTATTAATTATTGATAAAACACAAAACTGTTTAAAGTTCAGCGTGACAGGCCTTCAGCATTCTGGAAAATGCGTTTCTTCTTTTCTCCATGCAATGGAAAAAATATTTCAAATAAAAAGAAAAAATAACCAAAGAATACTATATACAAGACATAGCAACCAATGCATAGAACATACAGTTCTGTTCATGAAACATTCATTATTAGTAAGTGTAAACAGAAAACCTGTACTGCTATGAGGCTGTTATACACAGAAGTCATTGTGTTATTGATCCACCCCGCCTTTCTCTTTGCCAATTTACAAAACACCTTGTATTTGGAGAAGCTATAGACAATGGGAGGACAGGGGTGAATAAATGACAATACATTGTATGAGAGCTCCACTTATCATAGGACGTACAGTGCTAGCTAAATAGCAATCCAAACCTGAGATAAACATCATTAGAAGTAACTTTGCCTATGGGCATGATATGGACATTTAATTATTTACATATTCCTACCAAGCTGTAAATGAGATTATAGAAAAAGTAGTTCGAGTTGTTCTCTTATCAGCTCAGTTCACCCTGCTTCCACTTCCCAGAGTTAGATGTGCTGCTGACATGGAGAAATTCAGTTCCTCTATGGAGAAATTTAAGATGAACTACTCTTCAGTACCTGAAGCTACAGAGATCAGTGATGGTTTGTTTTATAGCTCATTTATTGTTTGTTAAGCATGCTTATATGCCCAGCCTCTGTTAAATGTGAATATCCTGGTCACACATAAAGGCCTTTACAAACATTAACCTCTTCCCTACTGCCCTATAGCAGAACTACTGCTACAGGGCGGTAGGGCTGCGCAAAATCACATATATATATATATATGATTTTGTATTTATGGGTAAGGGGTGCACGACATTGGCAGCTACAGCGGACAATCACTGGGTCCTGGCTAGAGATTCCCTGCCAGCACCCAGTGATCGCGGAGTAACACTGACAAGGGATAGGTCTGTATGTAAACAATACAGATCTCTCCCCTGTCAGCACCAGCATGCTGCTTTGTATTGCTCTGCATAGCTCAGCAAAACAAAGCAGCATGCTTACACAGTAAAACACACACAGCACAGTTAGCAAAACAGCACAGTTAACCCTTTTATTAGTGTCACTGGGGAAATAGATTGCCCAATCCAGCAAAGAGACATCCAAATTCAGCAAAGAGACAGCCCAATCAAGCAAAGAGATATCCCCATATAGCAAAGAGACATCCCAGTCCAGCAAAGAGAAATCCCCATATAACAAAGAGACAGCCCAATCCAGTACAGATGGCATCCCCATCCAGCAAAGAGACATCCCCCTAAACTAATAAGCCAGCCAAAGCCAGCAGAGATATCCCCATATAGTAAGATACATCCCCATCCAGCAAAGAGACATCCTAATCCAGCAAAGAGACAGCCAAATCCAGCAAAGAGACATCCCCATATAGCAAATAGACAGTCTCATATAGCAGAGACAGCCTAATCCAGTAAAGAGACATCCCAATCCAGCAAAGACACATCCTGGCTTGACTGTCAACAAAGTGAACAGACCAGAAGTTAACTGTCAAACAAGCTGCTGATCAGGCCTGTGCTTTCAATTCACACTGGAATAAATACCATTGTACGTTTAGTTAATTTCTGGTTTGTTCACTTTGTTGCCAGTCAACATAGATGCATTGGTTACTTCTTGAATTATTTCCCTGACCACTAATAGAATCAAGTTGTATCTGGACCTTTTAGCAGTGGTGTGGCGCTTCAATTTCAACTCTTCTTACATTACACTAAAAGCCAAGGAGACTGTGGAGATCCTCTGGGGTGTAGAAGCCGCCTGACCAGAAATCAGATCATTTACCCCCAACATGAATACCTTAAGATAACAATACCAGTAAAATAAACCTACAAGTCCAGAGCCATCTTTCCACTTTCCTTGACCAATCCAGCAAAAATTCAGCCCAAATACACCCCCACATCACCGCTACAGAGGTGGGCTGCTTGGCTGTAACAGTGGATCAGTGTAGGGTTCAGTACACTCACCTTCCTCCCAGTGTGTGATGGCCCTCTCCATCCCTGTGCAGCTGTCACAGTGTGCCAGCCGGTGAAGGAGAGGGGCCGCTGTTGTCCCTTCAGTAAGGCTGTATCTGTGTCCACTGCAGATGCTTTCTGCTTGATACTGGAGCCGTCTCTCCCACCTTCTGAACCTCCTGCCGGCCCTGCTTTAACCTCCCTGGCGGTATTCCCGAGTGTAGCTCGGGGTAAAGTTTCAGTACCAGAAGTGGTAACCCCGAGCTACACTCAGGAATACCTTGCAGTGCTGCTCCGGGATCTGTCTCTTCACTTACCTTGTCCTGCGATGTCCCCCCTGCAGTGTCCCCGGCCATCTCCTCCGGCGGATGCCGGCGTCTGTCATCTGGGTTCCGTCCCCTGCGAGCGTCGGAATGTACGGGGGACGGAACGGCGGGAAATTTGAAAATGACAAAAAGTGACATTCACTAAATACACTAAAATTACATAGTAAAACATTACTGTATCAAAGCATTTCACATACATTTTGTCCCGAGTGCTTTGTCCTGTGCCCTGCCTGCATTTTGACTGTTCTTTCTGCCTGGAAACTGAGAAAAGTCCATGGCGTCCAAAAAGCGTCCCTTTAGGTCAAAAGAGGTTTTAGACCAGTTAGAGAACAGTGATAGTAAATTAGAACCACTTGCAGAATTGAGTAATAATTATTTGTGGGGAAATTCGTCATCAGACACTAAAAACGATTTTGCAACTCTGCTCAGTGATGTGCAAACTTGGCACTCTATTTCAAATTTCAGTGTTTTTGGTTTGATTATATTATTGAATTAAATTTATTATTATATTATTATTTTTATGATTATTTATTAAATTATAATTTATGATTTTGTGTTTCAAATTTTATCATACCCGAGATGTTTACTAGACTCTTGTTTGTACAGATTTCAGTGAGTTATTCCTAAAAATAACAGGCCTACAATAAAAAAAATACATATTTCCATGCAAAAAAAATGTACCGCTTTGAGCACAGAAACATGGACATAATCAGACCGCTAGGGAGGTCAAGCATGGCCGCATAGCAAGAGGTAAGCAGCAGCCACGGTCTGTGTTAGCCCTGTCCGGACCGCAGTCACCGCTTACCTCCCACTGTGCAGCCCGGTCATCAACAGGCTGCTTTTCTAAGGACATGTGTGCCCTATAGCCAGTCCGGGCCTGGTGGGGCTCTTCACAAAATAAGTGTACAAACTTCAGGGCTGTTCAGATTACTAGGAGTAGGATGGAAATAATTACCACACAATGTGGAAATGAATATATGTTTTTACATTTCAAAATTTTAACAACAGATATGCCTTAACTATTGGCTACCTGTTAAATGATTTGGTCTTTCAATAATTGAGTTTTCACTAGTTAGGTAATTGTAGTTTTACTAATACGGTAATTGAAACTTAGTTAATTGAAATTATGCAGAGAAGGGGACCAACAAATTGAATCAATTGCAAGACTAATTAGTTTTGTTTTTTGCAAAACCAAATTGTTAGTGTATAGTAAATGAGCACACAGGCTTTTCACTGGTATATTTTTAAATTGTTTTTAAAGTAGTTGTAAAGGCTCAAGGTTTTTTACCTTCATGCATTCTACAAGGTAAAAAAACCTTCTGTGTGCAGCAGTGCCCCCAGCCCCCTCAATACGTACCTGTGCCCCATTGTGATCCATCGATGTGCACAACAGCCTCGAGTGTCCTAGGTCTCTGCCTACTCTTTGGCTGAGACAGCAATCGGGAGCCATTGGCTCCCGCTGCTGTCAATCACAGCCAGTCAGTCAATGGGGGGGGGGGGTGGCAAGCCATGGATCCGTGTGTGAATGGACACATGGAGTAGCAGCTTGGGCATATGCCTGCTCAAGTGCCCCCATAGCAAGCTGCTTGTTATGGGGGGCCCCGACAGAAAGGAGGAGCCAGGAGCACCCCAACACAACAAACACTTTTCTCCTGCGCTAGAAAAAGACTCAGTAGACCCAATAGGAATGTTCTGGAATTTTCTGGAATATGCACTGCTTGCTGCCCTCAACAGACTGGGATGGTCCAAATACACTGGATGCAAATAGAGAAACAGAAAAAGGGCGCACCGACCTAGTGCATTATCATTTAAAGATTTATTGAAGAAACAAAGTAAGTATCATACCCACAATAGACATAAAAACACAGGCATGTCAAACTGAACAAGATGTAGGATCCAAACAACATCTGAGTCCATACGATGGAACCCTGGATGACCAACTGGCTAACGCGTTTTGAGGACACAACCTCTTCCTCAGGAGCACCAGCAGGGGGCCCGAGAAGAGGAGGATTCAGGTTGCTCAGTGCAAAACCACTACACAGAGCAGGTAAGTATAGCATGTTTGTTATTTTAAAAAAAAGCAAACCTTTAGTATTGCTTTAAGTATTATATCACAAAATATGGACAGTTACTATTATTGATATTACATTTAAATGATTAAGCAGACCATTTACAAGTTTTACATATGCACATTATGTATTTTTCCAAAATAAATTCAATTTCAAACAAACTTGGTGTTTTCATACCTCAAGGGGAATTTTGTTGTTTTTACCCATTCTAGATTGAATAAGCGAATGTTATCACATCTAATTAATTGGCATCTACACCAAGGACTCCTAGATGTAAAGGACCTACTAGGACCATTGATTTTACAGACAGATTGACAACAGAAGCCCCCCCCCCTGAATCCTAACCTAAGCATTACGTTTGCTAAGGAAAGTTTATATCATACAATTTTTTCTATTATAAATCAAATATTTTTACTATTTTATCCTTTATTATATGTCTCAATGTTGTTGCTCTTCTGAAGCCTGCTTGCATGTTTCTACTGCATATCATTTTTTGTTTTTAATCTTTATTTAGAGGATTGCATCAGTATGTCAGAATCAGGTGAATAGAAAAGAAAACAGGAACATTGAGATGCATACAATCAAACATGTACGCCTGTTTGGTGTCAGCACAGTCAGTACCAGCAGTGTATGACTTTCGAGCAGCAAAGATCAGAACAATAAATCTTCCTTCCCTTTATCCTCCATGTCATTTCTAAGGACGAGTTTCCTGTTGGTGAACAGTGGAACATGATTGTGCAATGTGTGTGGGGTGCGCAGGCACTGCATCCCAATTGACATGGATGAGACTGCCTGCTTGGGCATGCATGGAACACTTGAGCATCCCTGTGCAGGAAAACACGGCCTTTGCACAGGTGTACACTGCAGTATGCCTATGTGAACAGAGCCCTATAGCAAAGTTTCAGCACTAGCAATATCATCACAGTGAGAAAGTCCAACAGGTGTCATTTACGGCAGATGGACATTTAAATTGACTACATGTTTGTATGCGAACCATAGGTAATGCCCTCACCTGAGGCAGGGTTGCTATAAATGACAGTTATATTCCGGGTCCTGTGCCGAGCAGCTATCCCACTGCATACTGACCGCAAAGGGCTGCTTGCCACCATTTACAGAACAACATACATTTTTTTTCAAAGAATACCAGGCACTCTCTGATAGAACAAGGTGAAGAGGAGGGGTAATGACATCATGATCTTCACCTCATCCATTCGGAGAATATCTTGTATTCATGGAATATTTATTTCAGGTACTTATATAGCCCTTTCAATTTACGCAGCGCTTTACATATATATTGTACATTCACATCAGTCCCTAACCCTCAAGGTGCGTACAATCTAAGGTCCCTAACTCACATTCATATATACACATACTAGGGCCAATTTAGACAGGAGCCAATTAACCTACCAGCATGTCTTTGGATGTGGGAGGAAACCGGAGTACCCCGAGGAAACCCAATACAAAGCGCTCGAAGAATGGTGGCAGTGCTCAGTGTAGTCACTATGCAATGGGGCAGCTGTTCAGCACAGGCCCAGAAGATCAAGGCTGTTGTAGTGCTGACTACTGCAATGATTGTTAGCTTCCACAGCGGTCTTTCAGATATGAGATATACTGTACATACGTACAGGACATTGGTTCAAAGAGAACCAATGTAACTATGCAATTAAAGTGGTTGTATCTATCTTTATACTATATATTTTTTTTATACTGTGTAAAGTCATATTAAAACGTGAGTTTTTCAGCATTTTGTTTTTTAGTGTTTTTTTAATTAAAAAAATATATTTTTTTGCTCAAAAAAAGTCCAAAAACGCTGGTTTGCTGCATTTTAATGCATTTTTTTTTTTAGCGTTAGAGCATTTTTACAGCTATAAACTCCTCTAGAAACCCACTAGTTCTGTTTTTTTTTTTCCAGCCAATAAACATCCCTGCCAAAAAACGCTGCTTACAGTCTATGTGTGCATGGACACATAGGATAACATGCTGGGGAGTTTACTGGCTGTAGAAAAAAAAAACGCCTAACGTTTTTCAACTTTTTTCAGCGTTTTTGCATTAGCATTTAGCTCTGTTTTAGTGTTTTTTTTAACCAAAAAAAAAAAAATAAATTTTGAGGGGGTCAAAAAAAGTCTCAAAATGCCAGCTTGCAGCATTTTACCGCGTTTTGCAGCCTTAGAGCGTTTTTACAGCTAAAAAAACTCCTCCTAAAAAAAAAAAAACTCCAAAAAACGTTGATTACAGTCTATGTGTGCATGGACACATAGGATAACATGCTGGGGGGTTTACTGGCTGTGTAGAAAAAAACACCAAAAGCCAAAATCAGCAGCTGTAAATAGTCCAGTCATGTTAAAAACGTGAGTTTTTCAGCGTTTTTGCATTAGTGTTTAGCAGTGTTTTCCCGCATTTGCGTTTTTTAGTGTTTTTTTTACCCCCAAAAAAATTGGGGGGTGTCAAAAAAACGTCCAAAAAAGCCGGACTGCGGCATTTTGCCACGTTTTTCAGAGTTTGAGCATTTTTACAGCAAAAAAAACTCCTTTAGAAACCCACTAGACCTGTTTTTTTTTTTCTTCCAGACAAAAATGTTGATTACAGTCTGTGTGTATGGACACACAGGATAACATGCTGGGGAGTTTACTGGCTGTAGAAAAAAACACCAAAAGCCAAAAACAGCAGCTGTAAAAATGTCTAGTGTGCACGAAGACTTGGCCCTCATGCATACTGGACGTTTTGATAACGCTGGTAATGTTAGCTGTGTAAAGTCATGTTAAAAAATGTGAGTTTTTAGCTTTTTTGAGCATTTTTGCATTAGCGATTTTTCTGCATTTGCATTTTTTAGTGTTTTTTTTTTTACAAAAAAAAAAATATTTTTATTGGTCAAAAAAATGCCCAAAACGCCAGCTTGCTGCATTTTACCGAGTTTTTTGTAGCCTTAGGGCTCATTCACACTTGACTGTTTTACTAACGCTTGCCACACGCCCCTATAGCGTTTGGCAAGCGTTGGTTCGGCGTTTGCGGAGTGTTTTTTAACGCTAAGCAAACGCCGCATGCGCGGTTTAGCTGCGATTGCTAGGCGTTTGCAGAGCGTTAAAAACGCCCCACAAATGCCTACAATGAAGTTTGAATGGTGTTACCGCTC